TTACCTGCAGAACCAGGATGAGGTTTACCTGCAGGACCAGGATGAGGTTTATCTGTAGGAACAGGATGAGGTTTACCTGCAGGACCAGGATGAGGTTTATCTGTAGGAACAGGATGGGGTTTACCTGCAGGACCAGGATGAGGTTTACCTCCAGGACTACAGGAGGTCTCTTTATAGAAAGTCTTTCTGGTTTGGGATCAAAGACCCAGATCCAGGGTTCTGAGGTCTGGTTCTATTGATCACTTTAGTTCCTCATCAGATCTTCCATCCTCCTATCAGTCCTCTGCTCTGTCCTTTGCTCTGTCCTCCTGTCCTCTGATCAGTCCTCTGATCATCATCTCCTGCTGCAGCAAGTCAACCTGAGAACTAAGGGTCAGCTTTAGTCAGATCTCAGATTAACCAGAACCACCCACTTAATGTTCCAAAAAGCCAAACCAGTTACTTGTCTCTGTCCCAGTGCTGTCTTGTCCAGTAATCAGTCCCTCTGTCCTCCTGTCATTCTTCCCCAGCCCAGTGCTGTCTGGCTGCGTTCGTCCTCTTGGCTCTCTCTGATTGGTGGATGGTGGCCCTGCTGTATGCTGGTTGGCTTTGGTTGGACTGGGACACGCCCACCACAGGAGGTCGCAGGTCCCAGTGGGTGAGGAAGTGGACGGTGTGGGAGTATTTTAGGGACTACTTCCCCCTGACGGTGAGTCCAGAACCGGTTCACCTGTTTCTCCTTTATGGATCATGGATCCCTGATGACTCTTGTTTGTCCAGCTGGTTAAAACCGTGGATCTGGACCCCACCAAGAACTACATCTTTGGCTTCCACCCCCACGGTGAGGGACACACCTGCTGTTGACCGGCATGTCCGTCCCAGATGTCCTCTGTGTGTTTCTCTGTTCTGTAGAGTTTTATTGGAATTTCAGGACAGAACGACAGGACTACTGGGAGTTTCTGACATAATCTGGAAAGAGTGGAGGTCTTTAACACAACGTTACAATTCTTTATTTTTCTCCCAGTGTCCATTTGGTACCCATGATCCATTTTGTACCCAGTGTCCATTTTGTACCCAGTGTCCATTTGGTACCCATGATCCATTTGGTACCCATTGTCCATTCGTTACCCATCGTCCATTCGTTACCCATCGTCCATTCGGTACCCATCGTCCATTCGGTACCCAGTGTCCATTTGATACCCAGTGTCCATTTGATACCCAGGGTTAACCAGAACCACCCACTTAATGTCCTGATCCAGTTGGTACCCATGACCCAGTTGGTACACAGGGTCCATTTCATACACAGGGTTCAGTTAGTACAGGGGGCAGCAGTTGGTACTCTGGGTCCATATGGCACCCAGGGTCAATTTGGTACCCAGGGATCAGTTGTTACAAATTATTTATTTGGTACCCATGATCCATTTGGTACCCATCGTCCATTTGGTACCCAGTGTCTATTTGGTACCCATTGTCAATGTGCTACCCAGGGTCCATTTGATACACAGGGTTCAGTTGGTACCCATGATCCATTTGGTACCCAGGGTTCAGTTGGTACCCATGATCCACTTGGTACCCAGGGTCAATTTGGTAACCCATGGTGCATTTGGTACCCCTTGTCCATTTGGTACCCATGATCCATTTGGTACCAAGGGTTCAGTTGGTACCCATGGTGCATTTGGTACCCAGGGTCCATTTGGTACCCATGATCCATTTGGTACCAAGGGTTCGGTTGGTACCCATGATCCACTTGGTACCCAGGGTCAATTTGGTACCCAGGCTCGATTTGGTACCCAGGGTCCAGATGGTACCCAGGGTCCATTTGGTACCCAGGGATCAGTTGTTACATATGATTTATTTGGTACCCATGATCCAGTTGGTACACAGGGTCCATTTGGTACTAGGGATCCAGTTGGTACCCAGGGTCCATTGGATTCCCAGAATCTAGTTTGTACCCAGGGCCCAATTGGTACCCAGAGTTCTCTTTGGACTCCAGTGTTAATGGAAATTCAACTAAGAAAAGGAAGACTTATTCAGGTTATCTTGGCTACTTCAACTGTCCAGACTCTGGTGATGTGACCAGGTGCTGTGCTCCCATCCATTTACCTGGTGAAGGGCTGCTTTCTGGTGGACTAACTGCACCAGTACCAGACTGTGCTCTTCACTGCTTCTCTCATTCCACCTCTTGTGAGATCAGATCACTGTGCAGACCTCTGGGTTTACCCTGGGGTCAGCCAGGAAGCTATAGATCCACAGTTAGCTGAAAGACTGTGTGCTTTCAGGTTCAGAAATAGACAAAGCAGACCACACCAGCTGCTGCTAAGGGCGGAGCTCAGATCCACAGACAGTCCTGCATCAGGAAAACCTAGTCTGGTATTGGTTCACCCTTCTGCCTCATCTGGTTCTCTGATAGATCACACCTCCACCTCCCTGCTATGTTTTGGATCGGTTCTACTCCTGATGTGATGGAAAATCCAACCTCCAGATTCTGGTTAATAAGAGATGAATGTTTGTGTATTGTTGGGCCAGCAGTAGCTCTGGTCTGGGAGGCAATTTCTGTCCAGTCTGCCTTCCAGATGGTTGGTTCCTGACCTCTGACCTTTACTGAGGCCTTCTGAGCTCTGTGAGGGGACTTTAGTCTTCCTCTCTTTGGAAGGTTCTTCTCTTCCAGGTCCAGTTCTCCACTGTTCCATGTGGTCTCCATGATGGTTCTTCCTGAGGTTCCTGATGTTGAGCCCAAACCCATAAATTGTTCTGTAATTCTTTCTTCAGATCCTGGGATGGTCAGCTTCTGGTTTAGATCTATGAATATTCAGTATCTTATTTGTCAGACAGGTTCTGGTGAAACCAAACCATGACTGAGTCAGTAGATCCGTGAATTAACAAGTTTCTGTTGCTTCTTCACAGGAGTCTGAGGATCTTAGAGCTTTCGTCACTGGACAGACCCACAGGGAGGAAGACTTTTAGTCATTCATCTGTGGGGTTCTGGTTCTGACTGCTTCGACCGCAGTGTTACCCAGTGTACTTGATAATCCCAAGTATTCTGGTTCTGACCCTGTGGACGGTTTCTCTTTCAGGGGTTCTGGTAGCCGGTGGATTTGGGAACTTCTGCACGGAGGCCACAGGGTTCTCCCGCCTGTTTCCGGGTCTGAGGTCTCACCTTCTGATGCTGCCGTTCTGGTTCCGAGTGCCGTTCTTCAGGGACTACATCATGTGTGGAGGTCAGTGTTCTGGCTAATGTTCTGTTTCCTTCCTAACCTGTTTGGATCCATTGAGCACCCAGGACCCCTGGGTGCACCATGTTGGTGACTCCTGCTCTACAGTCTACCTGTGAACCAAGACTGGATGGGTACTAGTTCCCACAGGCAGACCTGAGTGGAAACCAGGAACCTGTAAGTGGATCCTGATGTTTCTGGTTCTGCAGGAACCTTTAATATCTCTATCCTTAACAACATCAACAGATCTATGTTTCTGGTTCCTCATCCAGTTTGGGTTTTAGAACTCTGATATATTTGAGTATAGAAACAGAACAACCCAAAGCATCCAGCAGAACCAGAACCAGAACCAGACTGAACATCTGATCATTAACCCTCCCGATATCTGACCTTTGTCCTCTTTGCCCTGCAGCAGGACTTGAGCTAACATTATCATTCCACTAATCGTCTATTGCCTGCTAAAAGCTTGTTTGTATATTGTTCTGTGAACACGCCCCCTTCTGGCTGTGTGTTAGAACAGCAGAAAAACGTGTGAATGGAGCTCAACTCTTCTTGGTCTGACAGATAATTCTGCATATAACTGGAATAAATTCAGCTTCTATTGAAATATTAGAGTTTATTAACAAAATTCTTTTAGGTCCAAGTCGAACAGATTTCAATTCTAAACAAGTCGTCAAAAGACTCTTCCTACTTCCAGTCGTCACTCAGGGATCATTCATGGTGCAGCATGACGATCAGCAGCGTGTTTGATCAGACCATTAACCAGACAGGGAGGGTCGGTGGCATCTAAAAACATCTAAGAACATCTTAGAATGTCTTGGAACATTTTAGAACACCCCTACTGATATGAAAGGCTGTTCCTTAAACACTAAAAGTAAAGGATGTGTAAAACCGTGTGATTTAATGTAAAATCTTTATCTATAAAATCTGTAAAAGAAAAATGACACTTCTGTTTTCTTCTTCCAATTCTTACACAATTTACACGGTCAAAAACTGTATTGCTCCATGTCTAAACACTCAGTCCAGTTTGTTACAATGGAGCACAACAGGAAGTGAGCCTTTCAAAATAAAACCAAACCTCAATAAAATGACCTGAACAAATATCAGTCCCTCCACTGAGCACAACAAAAACAAAAGGTAAACTATAATACAAATAACTTAAATATTTTCCATTTATGGCTCAAAACATTCCGGCTCCTAATTGTATTGGCAGGATGTATAACAATTACAATTTAAAAAGAGCCATAAAGTTATTAACCTAACAAAATATCTATCCAGGTCTTGCCTTTGAGACAACTAACAGTCTTTTCTTACTCATTCTGCTTCCTGTAATAGACAAAGTTTATTTATAGGTTTGTCTAACAAACTAGACTTGGTTTGAAGTCAAACCCATCGCACAATTCCCCTGGAGTCCGGGAAGGTCTTTTGGATTCTTCCAGTCAACCAAGCGTTTCGTGGGGCTGAACTGTCAACAATGCCATCTCTGCCGCTCTTGTAGCAATGGAAGATATTCCTTTGTCCACCTTGACCAAAACAAGTCGGCCATGTATTGGGTCTGTCTCCATCTTCGACGTGAGTATGTATCATTACTGTCAAACAATCCTGGAGGAAGGATCGGCTGTTTCTTCAACAGCAGAAGATGATTTGGGGTCAAAACCTCCAGGTCATTTGGATCCTCTGATGCAGCAGTCAAAGGATGATCATTTATGATTGCTTCCACCTCAAATAATAGGGTGTGAAGACGATCATCATCTAATGTTTGTTGCTTCAAAACAGAGTTCAACACCTTTCTGACAGTACGAATCTGTCTTTCCCATATTCCACCTTGATGAGAGGCAGTTGGTGTGTTAAAGGTCCATGAGATACCCTTTGGCATCAGCTCTTCTCTTATTTTAGAATGATCCAGCTCAGTTATGGCTTCTTTAAGCTCCTTTTCAGCGCCAATAAATTGATGCCATTATCTGAGTGCAGAGTACAAACTTGACCTCTTCTACATATAAATATTCTGCCGGCATTTATTCATGATGGGGTATCCAAAGAGTGAGCAACCTATATGTGGACTGCCCTCAGTGCAAAGTAATGTAAAGTGTAAAGTATGTAAACATTACACCATAGCGCTTCACTATGCTGCATCCCCTTTTCACAGCAAAAGGTCCAAAGTAGTCCACTCCCACATGTGTGAACGGAGGCTTGTCTGGAAGTACACACTCCTCCAATAAGTCTGCCATTTTCTGGACTGCAGGCTTTGCATGTATTTTTTTTTGCATGTGATGCATTTCGATATTATTGTCCGGGCTGCCCTGTTCAGTCCTGGTATCCAATACTGCTGCCTGACCTTTGGAATCAGCTGGTTCCTTACGCAGTGACCATTTTGTCTATGTCTATGTTGCAGAATTAGCCTAGTAATGTGATGTTCTTTGTGCAACACAGTTGGACATCTCGCTTCCTCTGGCATGGCTGATTTGTTCAATCGACCTCCTACTTTGATGATGACATCGTGCAGAAAATGATCTAATTTGGAAAATTGATTGAATCTCTTTACATTGGAATCCTTACCTAAGAGTGAATCAATTCTTTTGGATACATCTCTCTTTGAATGTGACGTATTAGCACCACTTGCATCTTTCAGGTCCTGCACAGACAAAGGTTTTCTTTTCACTGACTTTCTCAGTCCCATCATTTCTTCATGCACTTTCTGGGACTGCTTCAATGTTCCTGTCTCTTTCAGGACAGCAATCTCTATACTCTTTTCACTTGTCAACAAGGTAGTGAAGTAGGTCTTTCATGCATAGCATCCATGCAACAGCTTTTCTCAGTTTGTGCCAGTCAGAGTAGTATTCCACCAGCTTTTTCATAGGTGTAACTTCAGCCATGGTCAAGAGACTGACTGGCTTTTTGATCTCACTGTCCTCTTCCATGGTGATTGGTATATCAGGTCTTGTAGGCAACTCAGATTCCGCCTCATAAAGGAAACTAAAGTCCTTGGCTGGTACTCTGACTTGGTAAAACATTGCCTCTATATCGGTCATCAGTGTAATCTTGTCCTCTCTAAACCTTATCAACACTCCATTCAAAGTATTTGTGAGGTCTGGGCCTTGAAGTAACTGGTTCTTCAGTGAAACTCTCTGATATGTTGCAATGCAGTCAAAGACAACTCTGATCTTCTTTTTTTGGATGTTACACCCCATGAAGTGGGATGTTCCACACCTCCGTCATTGCGCGGACTGTCTGCAGGCACCTTGTCAGCATAACCCTTTGCTACAATGTCAGACATGTAAGCTTTATAGTAAGCATGACTATAAAGGTTCTTTATGAGCCTTTTCTTGAGATTGATGGCTCTCTGCTCAGCTAGACCGCGATTATTAGGCATCTTCAGAGACTTGTTCTTAAATGGGAGACTTATACAGTAATGTACATTAATGAACTGACAAGACTGTTCCACATGATTCATGAACTGCTGATCATCTTGTGACATCTGTTTTGTCTTTACAGCTATGCTTTGTGAAATCCCAATTATATTGCTGTGTCAGCAATTCCTCAATGCTTGCCACTGCATCCTGTTCACAGTTAACCTTTGCAACTCATTCTCACCGTGTGGAACGTCCTCTTCTCCCTTCACAGGACCATTGACAATCCATCCAATTGATGTTTTCACTGCATATGGACAATCTCCCTGGCTGTTGATGACTTTCCATGGCTCTATTGCTTTGTGATCATTAGCACTGTTCAACAGACCAATTTCTTCCTTGATACTTGGAAGATGGACCTCATCCAAATATGACCACTTCCGGAGGTCTTTCTGATCTGGAATGTTAGCCCTTTTGACAGGAATTTCATGTTGTGTGAACACTGAAGGTAGATCAATGTATTTTTCTTCCAGTTCTGACAGGATGTGACTATGGACAAGCTTCTCCTGTCCCATAGTTCGGTGCAAAATCTCAGTCTTTCTGCCTCTTAAGTTCAGCGCTCTCCTGATCTTCTCTGTGCAAAACATAGCTGAGTTGCCAGGATCTCTGAAGGTGTATGTCTTTGTGCCTTTTTTGTATTTGAGTTTTACCGGAACAATGGCCAAACCTTCTTCTTTGCTTCCGGCCCAAGTGTATCCACACATCTCCTGGCTTACAGCTGTAGTGCTCTGAGTTTCAGAAGGGATGTTTCTTTCTTTTTTATATGATGTCTTTTCTTCTCTTTGTACATGTAGGATGCTTTGATGTTCCCACAAACATACCTGAAATGTCAGTGCTCTTGAACAATCTTTACTCAAATGACCTTAAACAAGGCATCCAAAACACAAACCTTTAGATTTCAAATATTCAATCTTTTCCTTGTGTGCTTGCTTCTGGAATGTTTCCCAATTGTCCAGACTGTGGTTGTTGTCACAGTACAAACGGTTATTCCGAGATGCTTTGGCATTATCAGTCTTTGTGATTTGGTTTGACTGTGAAATTTTCTGTGTCAACACTTGTAGCAAAACTGCTGCTCCTTGGTGTATTTTTGTTTGCTTTCCACACAAAACAGCCTTTTTTTGTTGTTTTGTAGATAGACTGACTTCCTGGAGATCACCAAACAATGGATCTGAGATGGTCTTTGTTTGTCTATCAATCTAATCTACCAGATCTTTGAACCTCCCTCTTCTTCCTCTGGCTTCCTGCATTTGAAATGCCACATTGTGCCATCACTCCCTCATCTTATATGGCAATTTGGACAGAATGACTCATGTTTGTTGGGTTGTCCATTTCTGTCATTTAGTCAACATCTTGCATCATGTTTCAGCAACCAATCAGGAAGAGAGAATAAGCGTTTAAGCCCTTAACATCATCTGCCTTTATTTGTGGTAATTTTAAAGCCTTCTCGGTGTAAGCCATGGCTATTTTTAAATTATCGGCATATTGCTTATTAAGCAGCTATCTCTGTAGCCTCTCTCTGGGGTCATGTGTTCACAGCTTCTCACCAGATCTTGTGGCTCTCCACGTGTATATTGCTCCAGAAAGAAAAGAGTTTATCTT